AACGTTTCGCTGAAATGCAAAAGTCTGCGGGGATTGGAACCATCAGCTGCTTCAGTAGGACTGTTTTTAGGTGCCTTGCTCAGGGGCAACTCGGTCGCAGAGGTTGTGCTCATCATTTTCTCATTTCTACCCATTTAGTCTCAGACTGACCTCAGTGTCTCGCTGCCTCTCTGCCGTCACAGCGCTGTTTCGTTGGGGTTTGATTGTGATGGAAGGCGGTTAAAGGAACGTTCTATGTTTGTACAGTTGGGTTTTGCTTTTATTTGAACATTGTAGTAAAGCTGCAATTATTGCGTCAAACTGCCAGAAGCTGACTGTTGGTTTATATTATCGGCTGATTGTATCTGTGGTCCAGAGATGTCACGAGAATCTATTTGTTTTTCTGTAGTTGATGCCAACATTCTCAAAAACACAGCGTTAGTTTTTTTCCGAGACTTGTTGTGAAGCAGGAAGTGTGTTCACGGTTCGACGTTCCTGGTCGGCTCTTGTGGAGCTTTCCTCTGACTTCCCGCCTCGTCAGTGAGTCTCCGACTGGCCTGAGACATACTCACTGTTTCGGGGACATAATGCAGCATTTATTCAGAAAAGGACAAGAGGCTGTTTGTGCTCCTCAATGATCCACTTTATCTACTGGAGCATACAGCTGCTGTGTTTGTGTTCACATTGTCTCGCGGTCTAACCGGAGGGACTGCGTCACCGTCTTCTGCTTAATTGAGGAATCTGTTCTGGTTTTCGGTTCAAGACTCTCTTTTGTCCTCTAACGGGAAACTTAATTTATGACAAGTTGAAGACACAATGCGTCCTCGCACGTCAACATATACCTGACCGACGTTCACGATGGCGGCAGAACGACCTCGTCACCTTTACTTCAGAGCGCGAGACGTCGTGGAGGGAAAACTCATCACGTTCAGAATAACCTTGCGTCACCCCATTGAATCGCTTCCTGTCTCCTACATTGTCCTCCTCCTGCTCGCTGTAATTACTCTCATTAAGGAAATCCACCTTCTTCCTCTTCCTCGCCTTCACCACGACGCCTTTAAGGTCAGAGGAATGTTGTGTTTACTCCTGTGCTGCCGGGGAGCCGAGGCTGTTGTTTTACAGTCGGATGATTGAAACAGAAGCGATCCAGGAAATTAAGTTTATTCTGCTCCCAATGCCCCCCCCACCCCACCCCACCCACACACACACACACACACACACACACACACACACACACACATAAGTAAAATGTATTAGCAAAGCACAGAGCAGGAAATAGAACGAGCAGTGGAGTGGAGGCCTGCCGGAGCGTTTTAGTCGTGAAGCAAGTTTGGTGTCAGAGAGGAGGAACTCTTCGAGGTTCTGGTCAATGAGCTGAGAGCAGATCAACGGAGGTATTTCCTCCTCTCAGGTTGTTTGATTTCAATATTTTAAAGGTTTGAAAACAATCGTCCGTCTTAGATTTATGTATTTCCTTTCATCTCAAAGCCGTTTGGATTATGTTTTATCTCTGACGGGCTTCTCAGGGTGCAAACTATCGGGTCATTGCACATTTGTTTCTAGTGTTTCATTCATCATCAACTCAGATGTTTCAGATGTTGCAAAGAGAAAGAAGCGTAGAAAACAGACGAGCTTCAGATGGCAAATATTAAAATGAGTAAGAACGGGTCGACAGTCAGACCTTCTTGAATTATGGATTTCTGTTCAAACTCTACGTCACTGTGTTCAGACAGAAAACTCATTTTCCCAAAAGGTCAACTTTTCTTTCATTTTTAGATGAAGTTCCCAACAGCTGACGTTTCCTCTCTTCCATCTTTAACTTTACTGTTTTCATGGGAAATGTTAAAAGCACCGTTCTGTCCTTTGAAACATCGACATAAACACCACCTTTACCTCGATCCCGTCTCTCTGTTATTGTGTCTCAAGGCAACGTAACCTCATAAAACGGTTCGCATGATATCCAACAAAAAGTCACGTTTTCTTGTTTGTTTTATCTGTAAAAGTTCAGCATCACGTGACGGTTTACGCTCGTTAAACGCAGACAGTCTTTTAGGTTTAGACAACAAAACTACTCGGTTAGGTTTAAGAAAAGATGGTGAAATATTTAGTTCGGATTTGGAAAAGATTGTCGTCTGGGTGAAAAGTTCAGCAGCTAAAGTACGCAGAGACGTCAGCGTTGGTGTCTCGTGTCACACGGGGAACGGACAGCGGTCTCCTGGCTGATAGATCGCCGTCTGTTGGACTCATCCACGTCTCCTTCCCGCCTTGTGTGCGCTTTTACTTTTACTTCCTCATTTTATGATTATGTGGATAACATAGGAAATAATTTCGTGGGATATCTACAAATTCGGGGCATTATTTTTTGTAGGTTCAGCTAAGAATGCTGGGTGAGACCTGCCTTCTGAAATCTGGCATCGTTAACAGTGAAACTCTTTTTAGACAACACCGAGCTATACGTCTGTGTTTGACAACACAACAAACTCCGACAACACCGGCGCTCCTCTCTCACACGACAACAAACAGAAAGCAGAAAGGTTTTTATTTCTCTGTCGGGTTTTTTCCCATAATGTCGTCAGACTCTGAGCCTGTCAGTGGCAGGAACAAGCAACTTTTAGTGGATGTAGATTGACGGTGATGAGTTGCCTCAATAATCAAAACTATTTCAGAAACTGTTGTCCCCCAACAGGAGAAAATAGAGCCCAAGAAATACCAGAGTTACCCTTTAAGTGTCTGAAATGGAAGACGTCTGTGAGTCTGTCGTTGGAGTTCCTCGGCAGCCGTTCCAAAGATCGCCTCCACACTCGGCAGCTGTGAAGCACAGTGTCGAGTGTTGGACTTGCTTCTGTGTGTGTGTGTGTGTGTGTGTGTGTGTGTGTGTGTGTGTGTGTGTGTGTGTGTGTGTGGCTGATTGAATGAGTCGAGATGACAAGGAGCAGACAGATGTTGCTGAATTTCCAGGAACTCAATTAGACCCCGCTGCTGCTTGATGGGAATTGTGCGGCGTCGTACGCTGCACGTGTTCCCGTAGCTTGTTTGTCTTTGTGTGTTTCCTTTATCGGCTGTTGTCGATCAATAGCAGGAGCCCAAAGGTGCTCCAACCGTTAACTCGTTGTCCACACGGGTTAATGAGTCTCCTCCCTCTCACGTTGGCCTCCAGAGAGACGGGGGGAGCAGCTCACTGGCTCCTTTTTCTATTTTCTTGAGAGAGGGAAATAAATCCCTTATTGGTCTCGGTGTCCGTCGGGATTAGTGTCCATGTGACTTTATTTAGCTCAACAACCAGGTGGCGGACAGATCGGTGTTTCTTTAATTGGTCAAATCAGGTCAACACACTCGTTCCCTCGGTGTCGTCTGTTCTCACTCGTAGCTCTGCTGGAGGCTGAAGTCTCTGTCCTGCTGGAGAGCAATTATGCTTTTGCTCCTTTACAGTTCATGTGTGAACTTCACAATAGTTCACTACTACAATCAAGTAGTGAACGTGGTTGTCTACGCCATCGTTGTCAAAGATGCAACTCTGGAGTTTTCAAACTAAACGTCTCTGTTTTAGGGCTCTAAAACTCCGCACTAATGTGGATGCTAACCGTGAACGTAGCTAAAGACGTGCGTGAGTAGTCGCCTGTGTGGCTTCAAAAATGTATCGAGAGAGTTCATTTGCATTGTGTAATTAGAGCCAATATTAACAAATATTAAGCAGTATCCTACTCAAAGTTTGGCCATGCAATCAAGTAGATTATAATTATTATCAAAATAATAGTCGCAGCCGAACAGAAGGTCTTTTATTTATTTTATATTTGTATTCGTAGCCGTCAAAGCCGCAGCGTTCTGACTTCTTCCACAGACTCTCTCTGTTTTGCATCCTGCAGGATATTTGGGTGTAATCTTGATATTTGGGTATGATCTTGTTTATGGCTTCCTGTTGTGGCCGAGCTGGTTCGGGGAGATGTTTGCTGTGGTTCTGCCACATTAACGAATAAAACAACCGGCTGACAATGGAGCACTTTCATGCTGCTCTGGATCTATCCGCAGCATTTGCCTGCGGTGACTCTTTTATACATGTGGCACATGCAAAGTGCACACACATCTGGACACTTCTTGATAGGCTGAGGGAGTCACTTCATGCACCGAAGGTGTGCAAGTCAGTGAATTAACTGATGTGACTGCGATGAAAACCTGAACCGAAGTACACCAAAATTCAGTATAACAGGAAAATAATATGTATGAGAAACAAAACCAGCAGCAGAGTAGATGAATTACTCTGCATATTTATATTTGGTCAGAACAGACAGATGTTAATGTAACATCCCACCTCAACGTCTTTAGGGTTGAGTCTCAGATTGGACTTGAAAGTCTTCCTCACACCAAACTGCCGCTGTACTTTGGGCTGATTGAGAAGCAAACAGCCGGTAAGAACTCCAGAGAGCTGCAGCTCAACAGCTTTTATTGACACTTGGCAGAGACGTCGTACAGCTCAAACACTGCTGAATTCGTACCGTCACTTCGTTTCTCAACCAGAGTTGGGTCGCCGTTGAAGACCAGTCGGGTTGGGTTCTAAAAGATTCCGATTAGAGGTCTGGTAGAATTAGAGTGGAGCTGTAACAGATCCGTGATGCGTGACTCTGTAGCTGCTCATTGGACACAACAGAACGATCCGTTGTGTCAAGTTCACGACTGAACTTGAAATCGTCATTGTGTGTCGCCGTGTTAACACAAACAATGTGCTGCAGCTCTAATCACAGCCTCCAGCTCACAACGCATACCTGTTGTGCTCACGCCGTGTCGTCGCCTCCGATGATTTCTCATTAAAATAACGGAACAACGCCTCGCAGCGCTCTGCAAGGAGCTCTGAGCGCTCGGCTCTGCAGCAGTGGGAGCTTCAAAATGTCAGCAAACTCGCTCCTCTTCTTTTTAAAAGAAGATGGAGACGGAGAGAAAACAGGCTGCAGGAAAAGGGGAAAAGAATGACAATGAGGTGTCAGCGAGGGGGGGATTGAAAAGTGTGTGTGTGTGTGGGGGGGGGGGGGTATTTGTGTGGGCAGATCAGCAGGAGAGGCAGCGCAGCAAACAGCCCCGGGTTATTTACCCAGCTCTGAGGGATCGGACATGCTAGCTCGCTCAAACATACACCCTGCTGACAATCAGCTCACGGGTGGCTGACATTTTCATTTCGCTCTCTCTCTCTGTTTCCTCCACAGGCCTGACCTTTGCAGGTGAGGCTTGTGCCGTCTGAAGGGAGGACGGGCCGGCAGAGAGAGGAGGGCACTTGAGATGCTGTAGCCGGTTAGCCGGGCGGCCAAATGGTCTGTTGTGTTGGAAACATGAGCTGAATGTAGAGCTGCAGGAAATATATGAATGTTTGCTGTTGTGCTAAAGACAAATCCCCCAAACACCAACACATGCTCACATTTACACTCTTTGTCCATCATAAGCTCAGTTGCATATTACAATAGCACATATTTGACCCGACCCGTGTTGCTGTCTGTGTGATTAGTTTTGGTTCTGAGGTATTTGATGAGATTTCTGGTTTGCGGTGCTCAGACTGTGAAGAGTTCTCATGTTGCCTTTCAGTCGATTAAAGCGAATATTTTTACATTAGTAATGGATCAAAAGGACTGTGTGTCAAACCCGACTCTGCAGTTCCCCCATTGTAGCATCTCTCAGCTCTCTATTTTGGTTTCGTGGGCTGCGACTGCACTCGTGAGGTTCTTTCACCGGACTGGTTCCCAACGCCACCCGCTCTGCACCAAACCGCAGACGACAGAGTTATCAACTGGCTGCTGAACTAGAACACTAAAGACAAATGAATGCTGGACTTCAGCAGTTGGCCGGAAATTATTTTGCTACGTGTTTGCAAAATCAGAATTGATTAATGCAGCTTTAAATTCAAAATTCCACGAGAGACGGATGTCTCAAAAACACGGCCACATGAAACCAAACTGCAGCTTTTAAATGTGGCTTTAGGTGAAGCAGCCCTCTGACCCGAGGCGTGTTGGACGGGTCAGCGCTAGCAAAGACTGACTGACACTCAGCCTCTGAGCTGGTAGCTGGAAACCTGTTAAAGTGTCCCATTCAGTCTTATTGCTGCGACGCCGTTATCTCGGATCGAAACTCCGACTCTTTGACAGCGGCGACGAGACCGACCGCAGCCGACCTCTGACCTCTGACCTCTGACCTCTCTGTCGGCCCAGACGCTGATGGAGTTTCTCCGGAGACGTGCAGCACTCGGCCTGCAGTACGCCGAGTTTCACCTTTTTTACTCCACATTTTTTTCCAGTTAGTTTAACAAAACCCTGACGCTATATTCAGCTGATGATTTAGTCTGAAACTGTGCATGCTGATATTCAGCTGCAGCCCCTCCCTTCTCTGCAGCCCTATGGGTTGTTATATAACATTCAGGTCCATCTCTGTGTAAAACACCTGAAGCCGTTTCAGTCAGACCTGTTCCTCCGACAGGTGAAAGCCGCAGGAGCCCAAATCTGTAGTCGTGGATGGCACTTTGCAGCCGTGATTAAGATCTTTGTCTCTTGTTTCACTAACGCTTCCTCAGCTCACAACCTGCCCGTATGCGTCTGAGCAGTCGACCACAGCATCAGCTGGTGTTTTTAGATTCACGTCGTTAGCATTTGCAGCTCCATGTCTTGGCATCCTGTGGTTGACGTCTGCACACAAACGGAGCCCAGTGTGGAAACGTTCAGGAAGTTCATTTGGCTCCAAATAGGTGAGTGGTCAGCGCTCATCCTGCGAGCTGCCAAATCATTTTATATCCACTGTTGACTCTCCAACAAATGAAGAGTAATGCTGTGGGAAGTAACGCTGTGGGAAGTAACGCTGTGGGAAGTAACGCTGTGGGAAGTAACGCTGTGGGAAGTAACGCAGATGTCTTTTAATTGACACGTCTTTTTACTCTCAGACGGGTCACAGAGAGGCTGAAGGTGGAGTCGTGGATCGTGGAGAAGGGAGCGAAGCTCAGTTTGAAGCGCTTATATTTCCTGTCATTTTTTAAACTCTGGTGCCTGCATCACCTTATTTGCAGAGCTGCTTTGCTTCCTTGTTGTTTTCTGTGCCGCTGCTAAAATTAACTTCCCTAAATGTCAAGTCCGAACTTGAGAGAGGGTGCGGCGCGAAGGCCCCGGTGTTAACGCGCACAAAGCAACTGTTTCCTGAGACATGAATTCACTCGTGAAGGCCTCGTGCATGAACACACACAGCGGGGGCCAACACCTCTGAATTCCCAGCATGCACGGCGCCTCCTCTGAACTGTGTCTGTAACAGTTAAGCGAGCCGCGCGGTGCAGCGACGGGCCTTGTGATTGCAGTTGGCAACCGGCCGCGTTACAAGTCTGAACAACGGCGAGGCCGCCGGGGGAAAAGAAATCAAACAAATCTGCCAGACTCCGATTTCAGACGCCGTCGCTGTCACACGTGCAAAGCAGCAACTGCTGACCAATCCGTCACACTGCTTTAAAGAAGCCGTGCTGCGAGCAGGAAAAAGTGTGTGTGTGTGTGTGTGTGTGTGTGTGTGTGTGTGTGTTTTTGCATGTGTCGGTGTGTGTCAGGAGTGCAGGCAGGTCTGAATGTGCTCTCTCGGGGGTCGGGTGAGGTGAGTGGTATGAGTCAACATAATGGATCTTGGGAGTCGGCCTGTCTATGAACGCAGGCTCACAGCTGAATGCCATCGCTCATATTCCTCTTTAAAGTAACTTGTATCTCGTATGTGAGTCGACAACTTAAACACAAGAACATTGGAGCTGGAGCATTTCAATCACAGTTACTGAGGCGGATTCAGAGGGAAGAACCAGCACGTGTCTACTGTTTGAAGACGGCTCTCTAATGAATACTTTTATGTGACTTCTTTTCAAAGCTGCATACTGAAAAGACTTCAGTGAAATCAGTAGCCAAATCACAGGTTCCCCCAAAAAAATCACAACAAAATGTGGAAGAAAGGAGAAAATGTCCTAATTTCCCAACTTCAAAAAGACACCAAAATAAAAAACAAGCAGCTTAATACAAAAAGATTTACATTTATTGTTAGACGGCGACCTAGCTGCAGCAAAAGTAACGTTATTTTAACTTCTGTACGCAGGTTAACTTGCATAACTTATTTAACTTGCATCAAATATGTAAAGTACTTAACTTACATCAGGTCCTTAAAGTACTTAACTTACATCAGGTACTTAAAGTACTTAACTTACATCAGGTACTTAAAGTACTTAACTTACATCAGGTACTTAAAGTACTTAACTTACGTCACGTACGTAAAGTACTTAACTTACGTCACGTACGTAAAGTACTTAACTTACGTCATTAGAGACAAAGTTACAAAACATGCACTAAATATAACGAACATGATTAATATTTCACTACTTTTCCTTCATCCGATTCCAGAAAACCAAACATTTCTCAAACTGTTGGTTCTTAAAGTCTTGAGCCTTTTTCTTATTTCTTATTCTAGGTTGCGATGTATGGGGGAGTGAGGGAGATGATAGTTGTACAAGTACACGCATGATGATATTCTCAATTTCATTTCCACCAGAAACTGCAGATGCACTTTTCTCACACTTCCTCTTTTGTTTGTGTGAAACTGTTCAATATGTTTCAGTGTTTCTCTGCCGACTCACCCACCTGTAACACGAGGTCAAACGATGAGCCTCAACCAAGACACGCCAGTGAAATATGGTTAGTTATAGTGATAATATTGTCTTCAGATGTCCTCCTTGAGCTTAACTCTCTGTGTTCATGAGACATTTTTATTTATCTGAACTTTACATTCAGAGGTGATTTGTTATGACGTGATTTTCCAAAACGAGGCTTTCTCTGAACCCAAAAACCCGTCGGCGGGATTGAAAAGCAGGTTTTCTCACTGAAATTGCACCGTTTATCGTCGTCAAATTTTCATCTTTCTGACGGTCCTTGAACACATCGTGTGTGACAAACGCTTCCGTCAGAAAAAGCAGCTGAAACGAATCTTAAAAATGTGATATTTCATCAAAAACATTTTATTCTAAGTGTCCTCTCTTCACAGGGAAATGTTGCAGATCAAGCGTTGCTCCATTGATCTCACTTTTGTGGTGGCTTTTTGTTCGAGGCGATGGGAGGATCGGCTACTACAGTAGAGTGTGTGTGTGTGTGTGTGTGTGTGTGTGTGTGTGTGTGTGTGTGTGTGTGTGTGTGAGAGAGAGAGAGCAAAGTGCTTTCAGACTTTCCAGTAAGTGAAGCTGACAGCAGTTCTTCTAGATTACAGGACTCAGCCGACTCTTTTCTTCCGTCTCTCTCTGCCTTCACTTCCCTCGGCCTCCATCTTTTATTTCGTGTTTGTGTGAACTCTTAATAATTTGACGAGAGCCAGCAGGGTAATATTGCGGCTGTCAGATAACCCCCCCCCTTAGACTTATCTTACTCGCATTAAGGTTGTAATCACAGAAGCACGACTCGATTAGCCCGGATGGATTACTCAAATTCCTCTTGGCAGCGATGCAGCTCGGCGATTTGCTCGTCAGAGATATGAAATGGCTCGCAGCCACGACGAAGAATCGGGCTTTAATGTTTGAGCTCACTGGAAGAAGAAAAGCACAAATGTTCGCCGGCAGGCCTGAACACATTCATGCTGTAGCTGATAGACGTCCAGTGTGGATATATATATATCAGTTTATATTCCAGCCAATAAGGAACAAGCAGAATATCCATTACATCTATAATAAGATGAATCTGTACTGAGGGCTGCAACCTTTATTCATCACGTCTTTGTTGTCCATTTATCTGACCGTTAGTTTGTGGATTACTTCTTGTTTCATCTAAGAAGAGTTCCCATCATGATGTCACACAGCTCAAAGGGTTTACAGAGATCTCCGTGGGACACCCTGGTAAAGTCACTGCTGATAGATCTTTACATTGACGTTCTCAGGTTCCTGCAGATGTTCAAACTATAGTCGTCGGTGTGTGAGTCCACAGTAGTGACGTTTGTTTTGCCGTTAAACCACATGTTTCTTCTCCCTCCTCTGTGATGTCGTCTCCATCACGCTCGGCTTCTTTCTTGATTCTGAATCCCTCCCCCACTTCTCTCTCTCTCTCTCTCTATTTCTGTTTATACCTCCCCTGCTCTCCCTTACATCCTGCACCCCCTCCTCTGTCCTCACACTCCTTTAACACTGCCCTTTCTCTGCCTCGAGCTGTTTCTTTTTCACATTTCCACTCTCTACATTCCTCTCTCTAATCACTCTCTGATCTCTCTCTCTCTCCGTTGACCTATAATTAAAACCAGTCGGCGAGGCCGAAACGTGCCGCGTTCGAGTGTAACGCCGAACTTCCCGTTCGTCCGAGAGTTAGATTCAGGAACCGCTGCCAGAAGTGACTGTTTGGATGCTTTAAACCTAACGTGGCCACTTCTCAGCTTCCTGTCGTGCATCCGCAGCAACAATGCTGAACACAACGGCGCCGTTCTCTGGGTCCATCGGGCCCGCTTCTCTGCTTTCACCAATTACCGCTCGGACCGCGGACTAATGTGAAGACCATGAGGTTCAACTCGAGCCAAAATGGACCCTTTTCTAAATGGCTTCCTGTTTCCGTAATAACAATGGAGGCCACACAGACAATGGGAGTGTGTCAGCGAAACCTAAGTGTTTTTGTGGGTGTTGACCCACTTTAGCTAATCCCAGGCCTGCGTGTCCGCCTGCAGAGCTCAGTATCAAGAAGTACAATCTATTGGTTTCATGTACAGGGACACGGATTATCTGTTTCTCTACCGTCACTCAGGATGAAAATAATGCCAACGGAAAATCAATTAGGATTCTTAATCATGGTGGACACATGAATAAATTTAACCCATGTGAGTAAACAACAGTCAGACCAAGTGACTACTTTAAAATATTTAAAAAGACGACTATTGGTGAACGAGAGAGGAGGGCGAGTCCAACAAACAAGACTTTAAACCAGAAGACCGGTGTTCAACACCATGTTGAGGTTTTTATGGTAGTAGTTTAGTCTAAACCTAACTGTCGGTTTAGTTGCCTGAGCCTAACTGTCGGTTTAGTTGCCTGAGCCTAACTGTCGGTTTAGTTGCCTGAGCCTAAATGTTGGTTTCTGTAGATTCTTATTATTTGTATATTTTTGTTAAATGTTCCTTTTTATGTGCTTTTAAATTAAAGAAAAGAAACGTAAATGTAAAACTTCTGCAAAAAGATGCAGCACATATACTGTATCGATATATTTTAATACAGCCCGCTAGATTGAGATCTTGCAAAGAAAGAAAAGTAATAAAGAGTCAAACAAGTAGAGAAAATCATCTCAAATACAGGTCCACTTACTCGCACGCCCGACAGCTTTCTACCGTATCACAGTTTTCATCAGCGGGTTGAGTTTGCTCATTCGTCTTGGAGCTTCTCACTCACGTTGACTTAAAGTTGAGCTTGAATAAGTGTGAGACTTCGAGTTGAGATAGTTTTACATTTTTAAGAGAAAATTGACCACCTTTTTTTGACATCGATGTGCCTACATGTACCAAGATGCATTGCGCTTCTGACTCCCAGCAGAGTCCCCGAGGGGGAGGCGGAGGAGGACGGTGTGCCGTTATGATGAAAAGCCACCGTCCAATAACTGAACAGTGCAGCCGAGGAAGGATCAGGATCTGAACATGTCTCCTCCCTAAACTGCTGCTGTCAGAATATTTTAGACAGAGAGTCGGATTGAAAGGAGGAAAGAACGTCTGAATGAGTCTTGAGAGGAC